AATTATTTGCGCTTGTAAACCACTGCAGATTGTGAATGATTTGACATTTTTGACAGCTTTAGTCTTATTCAACCAATCAGGAGTATTTGCACTTCTGAATAACCTATTTTAGCGAGTTTTATGAGAGTATGAAACATGCTATATTTATAGTATATGTATGAAAGTGTCTCTTTTTGACGAGAAAAAAAAAGATACATATAATTTATGTATATTTCCAACCTGCGACGTTTTTGAAAACGGGTGTATATATATGTTAAGGCACTATAAACTCTCGCAGCTAATTTAATGGTTATCAATTTGTTTAAGGTTTTCCCACATTTGTCAACTAGCTTGTTATATTCATTTCCGATTTTAGGACCAGTATTTATGACATGGCGGAAGAAGCCTTAGGATCAACAGGTCCTAAAGCAAATTTTCATCGCCTGACGCGATTACTGATGCGTGGAGGTGTGAATCTTTTCCGGGAGACATTTGACTCCATTCACTCACCAGCTGATCTCCCTTTGAGACTCGCTGATCCTGCCATACAGGTACAGCTGAGAGGTGCAAGACTTACCCAGCCAGAGAGGGCTTTTCTGTACCCATCCCCAGGGATGTATGGAAAGTCCAACGATTTTGACATTACATTAATCTTCAAGTTACTCAGGACAATATGCAACCTGACCCCTCCCCCTGGACCGAGAGGATGGGATGATTTACCGAACGGCTCCGACCACACTTTGGTGGCAGATTTAGTGCGAATAAAATACTATCGAAATGAGATTCATGGTCACCGTCACAGCATGGAAATATCTGACACTGAGTTTCTTCGTCTCTGGAAGGAAATTAGTGAAGCTCTGTTACGAATTGCGGCAAATATTAGTCCTGCAAAGAGAGATGAATGGAAGAAGTGCATTGACGATCTTCTTGGTAAACCTTTGACGCCAGATGAAGAAATATGTATTAAAGAGCTAGAGACCTGGTATATGCAAGATCTGGAAACTAAAAATGAAGTGGTACAGCTGAAAGAGAAAGCGGAATTTCTAACAACTCTGGTTTTGGGTCAGTAAAAGAGTAAATTTAAGTCCCCATCAGACAAAAATAAGGAAACCTTTTCCTCAGTTCCCTTAAATGTTAATCTAATGTTGCCATTTTTCACGGGGA